CACAAAAAAAGCTCTTATTATTCTTGGAAGTTACTCAGACAGTCATTTCAAAACGCTTAACAGCATCATCATACATTCAAAAGTAAGGAAATTGGGTGTCAAATGAATTGAAGCCAAAACACATTGAAAAACGATTTTGTATGTCAAAAAGTTGCATGAACGCTACACAAGGAAATCTTTGTTTTTGTGTCGGATTGTGACTACTGATGAAAAACTATTTGCAAAAAAGCGTCCGGGAAGTTTTGCCTCACCCGCCTTATAGCCCAGACCTTGCTTCTTTTGAGTACTATTTGCTCCGGTCTCATTGGATTACGGTTCACTTAAGAACGGAGTATCAAAAATTGGCTGGATTAATTGTTTTTGGTGGATATTTTTTGTAATGGAATCACGAATCGCCAAAAAGTTTGGAAAATGTTATAACTTCACGTTAACAATTCTTTGAATAATACTATTGTACATGTGTATTTGTCCGAAATCGAGTTATATGGGTTTCCAAGCAGATTTGATGTACTTTATGTGACCTCGTTGTAAAGGAAAATCTGTAAAATTTTCACTTAAAACCCACAAAAAAAAATCTCTTCACTACTTATTTCTTAAGTTCTTCCACATAACGGCAATACCTTCATGAATATTTTACTTTTTGTTTTTGAAATCACACTTAGAATCGCCTTGAAAAATTCAAGAAAATACATTGCAATCAACAATATGTTTGTGTCAATGAGTTGCATTGGGCCGAAGGTTGTGGCATTTACAATTTCACTGCAATTTAGTCAAGCGAAAACCTTTAAAGCCCAGCAAGCTAGCAAGAAGCACCACCACCAACACCACCATCACCACGAGTATCAGAAACCGGCAGCAAACAAACAACGGTATAAGTAAATAAACTAACACTAGTTTAACAACCCACTTATGCCTTTGCGTCTGCCTCTGTTACATACTCCAATCCCTTTTAACCAACCTCGTGATACTAAACATACTCGACTCTTTATCGTATTTCGCATTACAATTCCACTTCCTACTGTGCAAATCTCAGATTCACTGAAGCTCAAATTCACTCTTGTAGCGTTCTTGTTCCTGTTGTTGCTGTTGCTGCTGCAGCATGATTATGTCAACGCAAATGCTGGCGGCATTAAGCAACACTGGCAGATAGCGGTAATAACTGAGCTTAAGACAATACTTATTGTGTTGTTGTTGTTCGCATTGTTGTTGTTAGCGGAAACCAAAAGCCTTGTTGTGTGACCTCGCCCAAGCTTCTTAATTAGGTATCCTTGAGATGCACTGAGCAGCTTTGGATAGTGGCGATTGTCAGCCGCTATACTAGTTGAGTGGGTATATTTTCATTTTTTCGTAATAAAGACTTGATTTAAGAGCGAACTATTTGGATAGTAGAGAAAAACATGCTAATTTATTTTCTTGATTTTTAATTGGAAGCCTTACTAGCTATTCAGCGAATATGCTTGCTATATGATACTTTCAAAATTATAATGACTTTTCATAAAAATAACTATGTATAGAAATATATGTCTCCCTTCACAAAGTATGGTATGAAAAAACTGTATGGCTAGCTGCAAAAATTAGTGAAGTGAGCCAAAGAGTATATACCCGTGCGCTACTAGATCGAAACTTGATCTTTTTAAGAAGCTGTAGTGAAAAATCTTCACCACAGAGTGAAAGTTGAATCCATTGAAATAAAAGAGGCATTATTAAGAATATTTTTTATTAATTATGCAGCAAAGTTTCTGGCTAGATAAAAGATCCTTATACAAACAAATAATTTCTATGCTCGTCTTACTTTAACCTTATGTGCCATATTTCGCGCTATCTCCAGATTATGTAAAGTTTATCATGAAGTTCGTAACACCGAAAGAAAGAAAGATCAGAGATCTTATAAAATATATAAACTTATATAAGGTTGTCAAATATCCGCTTTTTTGTCTTTTGAATTTCGCGGCTATGTACAAAGCGCTACAGAGCTCGTATCTGGCAACACTATACATAATTTGAAAGGTCTTGACATAACCTACAAAACAACGCTATGCATGATTAGTTTGGATATTGCGTTCAACAGTTATAGACGTGTAAACATGGAGTTCACTAACGCCGAAATTCCCGCTATTTTAAAGTTTTCCTTCGTTAAAGGCAAATCCGCTAGGGAAACGTTCCGTGAGATTAATGGTGTTTTGGGGGATGGTACTCTATCACTTCGAACCGCGGAGGAATGGTTTCGACGATTCAGAGCCGGTGAAAACGACACCATGGATAAGCCAGCCGGCGGAAGACCTGTGACGACAAATACCGATCAAATCATGGAATACATCGAGTTAGACCGGCATATGGCATCTCGTGACATCGCCCAGGAGATGGGAGTTAGTCACCAAACCATTTTGAACCATCTGCAGAAGGCTGGATACAAAAAAAAAGTTTGATGTTTGGGTGCCGCATAATTTGACGCAAAAAAACCTTCTGGATCGAATCAACGCCTGCGATATGCTGCTGAAACGGAACGAACTCGTCCCATTCTTGAAGCGGATGGTGACTGGCGACGAAAAATGGATCACATACGACAATATCAAGCGAAAACGGTCGTGGTCGAAGGCCTGTGAATCGTCCCAAACAGTGGCCAAGCCGGGATTGACGGCCAGGAAGGTTTTGCTGTGTGTTTGGTGGGATTGGAAGGGAATCATCCACTATGAGCTGCTCCCATATAGCCAGACGCTTAATTCTACCATCTACTGCGAACAACTGGACCGCTTGAAGCAGCCGATCGACCAGAAGCGTCCAGAATTGGCCAACAGGAAGGGTGTAGTGTTCCACCAGGACAACGCCAGACCACACACTTCGTTGATGACTCGTCAGAAGCTACGGGAGCTCGGATGGGAGGTTTTATCGCATCCACCATATAGCCCGGACGTAGCGCCAAGTGATTACCACCTGTTCCTGTCCATGGCGAATGCCCTTGGTGGTGTGAAGTTGCACTCAAAAGAGGCTTGTGAAAAGTGGCTGTCCGAATTTTTCGCAAATAAGGAGGGGGGCTTCTACGAGGAAGGTATTATGAAGTTGCCGTCTAGATGGAAACAGATCATCGAACAAAACGGCGCATATTTTAACTAAATCCGATCACTGTAACACTTTTTATAAAGCATTGAATGAAGAGCAAAAAAGCGGAAGGGAGATATTTGACAATCTTATATAAACTTGTATATATGATCTGCGTGATGAACTGAGTTGATTTAGCCATGTCGGACTGGCTTTTCATCTATCTGTATATACGTAAACTAATCCTTAAATTCTTGAGTTATCGATCTGAAATTTTACATACGTATATTCCTTTTGAAGAAGCTGATAATTTTCGGAACCACCGATATCGAACCACCATATAATTGCCATAAATACAAATCGATTCGAATAAGGTCTTTGAGTGGAAAACTTTTTTAAATTACAAGATATCTGTTCAAGGCAATGTTACAATCAAAATCGAAATAAAGAAATGTTTGCCTTATATAATTCGACTTGAGGGTTAATTCTATCAAATAACGTAGCTAAAATGAACTACAATAGAATAATTTTTTCTGTTGGATGCAAGCCGCTTGCTGGTTACGTTTTCAGATATAGTAGTCTTACATACAGTTGCTATAAGAAATGCACGGGTGAAGTGAATCCAAGCTTAGGTGAAGCCGAACGTAACGTTTTATTTGTTACTACATAATCAAAACATGGCGCGTTAAAGGAAGCTATCACTTAAATGAGGAGGTTAAGATGGAAATAACTGCCTCTTTGGAAGCATTAAGGTTTCACATTATATTTATAATTGGCAGCAAAATGTTCGAGGTGTAACGGACCTTCTTGATGGAAATTATGTTAAAGAATAAACCATATTTTCAAACTTCTTTGGTTCTTACATCTGGAGTTATTTTCGTGTTATTTACCCAATGTTTCTTCAATGTTGTTTTTTTCTGAGTGATATGCACGTCTATGAGTGAATAAAGGTTCTCGAAAGACCGCCGGTATTTTGGAGTATAATTTACCTAACCTTTATTTTAATTTAGTAACCTACCTTACTTTATAAGAAGGAGGAGTAACAAATGTACGTATGAGTGAACTAGCGCTATAGTTTAAAAATGTTTGCCAAAATTTCTTTTGTATCCGTAATTACTTTTTAAAAAACACCCTGTACTGAATTAATAAAGTGTGCTGTGTTTATAACTTAAGGAAACCAAAACATGTAATAAAAGATATAATTAAGCAGTTCCTCAATTATTTAACTTTATTTAGTTAAAGGGCTATTATTTGGTCGATATATATTATGTTTAAGTATGTAATGGATAACGAAATTATATGAATCAGGATTGATATGATTGACGCACACTTCCAAGAATTGCTGCGGACGCTCTGTTGTTAATAGCAGATATCATCAATTATATTATTTGTGATTACTTGTAATGCAATACATTAATTTTTATATAAACAAGTCTATAAACGAACTGATTGGCTATTACCAAAATTACCGCTAGCCATCAACCAAATGAGCAAATCAAATTTTGATAACTCTGCCAGAGACATAAGTAACCGTTATGCGTTGAGTGTAAAATTGTATTATATTGAAGAGATATAAATTTAATTCGTATGTAAGTCAATCAGTGTGAGTAATAGGAGAAGATTTGAGCTTTTATTAAGTCAAAAGGCACCGAAAGTTGAGCAATAAAAAGAGAGATTGTTTTTTATGTTATTTCTAGTAAGTGAAACTGAAGGTGGTTTATCATTAATTTTTTCTAAACTAGAAAGCCACATACATAGCAAAGGTACTTTTATACTTTTGTAAAAATAAATATTTTTTCTTTTATTTTTAATTTTTTTTATATTATTTTTTTTTATATTTTTGTCATTAGTTTCGTACAAAATATTTTGTATTCTCTTACACAAAAATAATAAAAGTACTTTGTTTTTGTTGTGAAATGCTTGTAATTTGTTTTCTTTGCACATTGAAATGACTTTCCACTTACCAAAGACACAGCAAAGTTCGAGTAACTGCAAGCAGAAAGAGAGAGAGAGTGAGAGAAGAAAATGAAAAATGTCAATAAAGAGAATGCGCAAAAATATTCATTATTTAAATTGCATTTGCTTTCAATTGCGGAAAATTACGAGTTTGTGCAAAATAATTTTAACAAGCTTTTCCCGCATTTCCAGCACATCCGCGGCAATCAAAAGCGTGCTATACAAATTCAAACGCAAATACGTAAATATATATGCTATATATATATATATATATATATATATATATATAAATAACTGTACATACATATGTGTATGAGCGTTTGTGCGCTCATAAATGCAAAATAACGAGACAAATTTGAAATGCGTGTGACGGGAGAAGTTAAAATTAAATATTGACCGCAATAAAAATGAGTGTGGTAATGCCGTTGTGGTTGCCACTGCTCCTTCAACTGTGACGCCATCTTTGTGTAATGGCACATTTTGTGGCGCCACTGCTTGGCCTATAACCATGTAAACTTCCTTACAACTTAAGCACATATATACCTTTATATATATATATACATATATATACATATATAGGGTTTTCCAATAAGAGTGATATTTTTTTTTTAACACACCAATTGCTAAGGAAATTTAAATGCTTTTTTTATTTAATGTGAAGTACAGTCGATATAATTAAGTTCAGAATATATCCATCAAATGGACTCCATGTCTTGTTTTGCAGAAATTAATTTGATGAACTCACTTTTCGAGTACTTTTTCTAGAAAATCAAGTCGTATGTCAGGAATACCACGACTTCTAAAGCTTGAAGAGAGTCTAGTTTATTGCTAAAGAGCAATGACTTCTTTTAAACCCCACAGAAGTAGTCTAATGGTGTTAAATCACAACTTCTTGCAGGCCATTCAATGTCACAATTTCTTGGAATTATCGAATCTCCAAACCTTTCACGCAATAATTCGACCAGATGATTCCACCAGATCAAAATCCACACCAAACTGTCTTTAGAGGATTTAGATGAATGTAGTGGTTGTTTATGAATAACTTGTGAACTTTCTTTGCACCAGAATTGACAATTTTGTTTATGTACTGCACCACTCACCATAACCATAACCACCATAAAATGACAAAAGCGCACGAAAAGTTGCAATTGGAGAACGATTATTTTGATAATAAAATTGTATAATTTGTAAACGTTGTTCTTGCGTATATCTCTCCATAATAAAATTGTAAACATTACTGAATATAATTAAAAAATAATAAAGATCATGATATATTAAAAATGACCGAAATGACACTTAGAAAGCATATCATCCCTATTGGAAAACCCGATATATGTAAATTTCCCTTAACGGCTCCGCCATGCGACTGTAAAGCGTTCAACTGTCATCGTTTTGACAGGCCACCATGCCACACCGGCGACGATAATAAAACACGCACAATATGCCGTTACAGGTAAATAAAATGTGTCGGCGACAAATAACGAATTACCTTAATATAAACGCGCGCGCACATATACACACTTACACAGTTATACATCACGCATATCATTGCCGCAAGGATGTTGACGATGATGATGATCATGCATGCATGAAGTGTGTAAAAGTGCGCATTATAAAGTTTCGCTGCTCTTTCGTGTGACGTTGCGCGGAGGCGCTTTCCGTCGCGGTCCGCAGCGCACTTCGCATGTGTGGCAGTCAAATATTAAAATTATGCAAAGCTGACGCGTATTAATGTTAGCATGTAAATTTTTTTGGCGTATGTGTGAATACTCTGTAGTATTGTTGATATGACGGCGTGTTTAGTAATTCCAGGCATAGATGAATTGCGGCTGGCATAAATATTTCAAGGAAATTTATTTGTCTTTAACAAACAAGGTCTGTTCAAAATGTAAGTGAACTTTATAACGGCTTCAGCTATATAGCATGTTTATTTTGTTTGTGAGACGCACAAAAGTGTTCGTTTCCCGCTGTCGAAAATATAGATCGGTGAGTCTACTGTGATTAAAAAAATCGCTGAGAGAGCTCAAGGGCATACCAAAAAGTGCATATCAAGACTGCTTCGAGGATTCGAAAAAACGCTCTCCCAAGTTTATTATATCTGAGGAGGACTACTTCGAAGAGGACAATATAGAAATTGATGAATAAATAAAAAAAAATTCGAGAAAAATGAAAATTCACCTCATTTTTTGAACAGACCTCGTATATGCATACTAGTTAACTAAATCAATATCACGTGTCTGTATACAGTATGTATATTTTATTTTATTGTGGAAACATTAAAAATATTCATTTAGCGCGTGCGGATATGTGCTATGACTCTTCACGCCCGAATGATTTAATATTTCAATCGCACTTACTCGTAGTTGGAACATGCGCTTTAATGAATCTCTATTTAAATGTTATAGTCTCTTTGGCCAGAAGTATTATGCCAATATAAACTTTCTTTATACAGTGTAATAAATAAATATTGATAAATTAAGCTTGTAAGAGAGAATTCCGAAGCCTTTTCCTCACTCCAAAGTAAAATTTTCAAACTTAGGCCTTTGTTCAAGGCCCTGGACTCACCGAACCCCTGAAGGATGTTGGTAGTGAAAGAATTTCGGTTAGTCTTTATGCAAAACGAACGAGTACATCTCATATTATATGAAATAATTGTCTTGCCTCAGTCTATATTGATGGTCATAGAATATAATCCAATGTAGAATCAGGAATATTAAAAATTTGTATATCCGTTCCTTTACCAACTTAATGAAGAAAGTAACAACATGGGTTTAGGCTATTTCGTGGAAAAAGCTGATATATTTATTAGCAGAGTTCAAAGAGTTTATGATAGAGTTGACAAGTTATGTATAGTGAGGAGATAACTTCTTCTTCAATTCTAGCAACTAAATAAAATGCATGGACTTCAATATTTTACTATACCATAAATAATTTAAGCAGTTTTGTTCCAATATCACAAAATACTAATTTACAGTCAAAATAATAGGCCACCTGCTCTTGAGAAGTTCGGCTTGTCTGTGAGCAATAAACAAAAACAAAGCAAGCAATAAATCTGTAGAAATAGTTTTGGATTCTATTTAAAACTTTTGCTATCTTATCTGGTACTGCCCGAAGAAATTTATTTAACTCAGAGTCTTTTTTACGAATTCATTATATTCATATCTCGTTAGACATCATTTCACTAAAGGCTCTCTATTTACATTTCAATAATCATTATAGAAAAAAGCTAGAAAAACCGAATTTATAATACTCTTCACAAATAAAAAACTTTTCATACACGGACTTAATTTTTACCGATCACTTTGTATAGCAGCTATACGCGATAGTGGTCCGATATCGGTGGTTTTGACAAATGAGCAGTTCCTAGGTTTTATACAGACAGACGGACATGTCGAAGTTGACTGACGCTGTTGACTTATATATACAAGTATTATGTATATAATTTATAGGGTTTCCGAAATCTCTCCGGTTAAAATCTTCGTTGCAAACTTTATATACCCTGCACATGGTAACAAAAATACTTGTAGAATTTTATTACTCACAGCCACTGTTGTATATACTTTTTAAATATGCACATTCATTTCTTAAAATGTACTTCAGCAAAACTGTGGCCAAAAATAATGATGCATGTAATTAATTTATTATTTCTTTACTTTTTGTTTTTGCTATTTCATTTACTCGCTGTCACTGCCATGGAACGTCAACGAGAAGCGTAAAGGACTCCGAGTACATGGGTTCTGGTATGACATGTGAGCGCAATTTTTTATTCGAATTTAATTTGCCACAAGCAAATGAAGCGCACAAGTATACGAATTTCCCTGTCACATTTAATGCATGTCAATTTAATTATTCTCTATATATTTGCTTCACCTTTGACGAAAATCTTTGCTGTAAGCTGATACCGCTGCAGCACAAGGCTTTGAGTAACTTTGTGCTGCTGGTCCGGCTTTCAAAAATATTGTGGCAGACAACTTAAATTAGCTTGCGGCTTTTTTATTTAATTTTTTTTTTTGTTATTATAATATTTTTTTGCTTGCCAACGTTTGCTAATTTACTCGCGAGTGAAATTGCCAATTTAAAGGCATTAAAATTTTCAAAATCGAGTTTTCTGTTTTACTTCTCATTTTATTTGTCACAGCAAATCAGCTTATGCTTTTGCCTTTGCTTTCGCTTGCTATTTCTTAAAATTGACCACCCTTGTTTTAACAACTTTAAGATTTTGTCCTGCCACAAATATTACGCCATTTGGCTGCAAAGTGATTGAGTCCTTTGCCTTCTGCTCCGCAATTGCTCTGCCATATAGCCACTTCATTAAAGAAAGGTAAGTAAATTAAAGTGCTCGATTTGTAAGAACTAATTTTTTCTTTTTTATGTTGAAATATCTGTTTTGCGAATCCCACTCCTCCCACTCGTGGACATGCCAGAGCTTCATTTATTCTCTGTGAATTTAATGAGCTAAAGTTTCATTTTCATACTTTTTCTTTGATGTTTCTCTATTCATGTCTCTATTTGTAATTTGTTTTAGTCCGTGGACTTCTTTATGTTGTCCTCTAATACTTGAAACTTAAACACTTTTTTGTTGCTTATACGCCAGGGTATACCCTTCGACATGTAATGCTTCTTTGCTACTTTTTACGACAAGCGGCACACAAAATGCTTGTTTTCAAATGTTTTTGTTATACTTCTGCCTTTTTCCTTTCTTTTCCTACTTTCTTTTGACAGCTGGAGTTTTCTCTGCTCTTGGTGTACTCTTACGTTTGCTTGATATGATACAAACGAAAGCTACTATATACCTTAAAGCCGCTTTGCGCTGTCTTTGTGTCGGCATAATGCAGAATTGTTGTAGTATAGCTTTTATCAACATATTGTTGGCATTCGTATAGGGATTTCGATATGTTATTAAGTAGTAGAAGGCCTGTATCTCTTTTCATCTTCTTCTTTAAAGTGTTTTTTTTACTGCTGTAAATATTACAAATATTTTGTATTGAGATCAAATAATTCAATTATTTTTTCCTTTCTACAATAAAAAATGA